TATTGATGAAGTAGCTTTGTGTGGTCGGTGACCTATAGGGGTCAGTAGCTCAGCTTCCCCAATCACCTGAGGTGGTCGCTTTTGCTATATACCTTTGTGGGCGTAGTGCAAAGTCTTGGTGTAATTAAGTCTTGATTGCTGTACACTGGGAGAAATTGACTCCAGGCCAGTTGTCTGTGAGGACCTGCTGTGTCCATAAAGGAAGAACTGCTGCGCTGGAGACACGCCTTTTTTCAGTGAGGTTTTGGTGCTCAGTGAGTCAGTCTCCCGAATGTGTCACTTATGGGTGTGATAGATTGAAACTGAGAACTAGAACTCTGGTTTCTGGGTCTCAGTGAGGTACAGTTCAGCTACTGTCTGAGGCCAGTACAGTCACGGGAGATATAGTGTGAACCACAGTCCTGTCCTCCTTGGATCTGTTTGCCCCAGGATGCAATTTTATAAACTTCAACAGAGTGGGCCATTCATATGCAAAAGCCACTGCTTGGAGCTTGTGTGTGATTGTAGGTTCTGCGGGGCAGAATCTCAGGCCAGAGTCTCAGGACTTCAGTATGCTGGGGTGTAGCCAACAGTGATGGCTGCCAGTCAGCTGCCTTTTGGACGGAGTCCGCACATCCTCATGTCCCTGCGACTCCTCGCTTCTCGAACCACAGCACAGCAAACAATCTCAGCTCTGCAAGCAAGCCAGCCTCACTTTCCGACTCGATGGCAAATAGTCTAGCCTCTCCCCAGAAACTGGATTTCAGAGAGACCAGGAGCTTGTCTTTCTTCAGGTTGAAGAAAGCACTGCCCTCCACCAGCTGGGATCCGCTGCCAGCCCGTATTGCGTCCGCGCCCCCCTACCTCAGTTTTTCAGTGCATGTGCCCTGGATTCTCCTCTTTCTCTTTCAGTCTAGTTGTAGGGCTTCCTCTCAGCCAGCTTTCCTTTGGTTTTAGGGGAGATAGATGTTTGTTTTATAGGTTTTTTTGAAATTGTTGTAAATGGCAGCCATTTAGGAGTTTTTACCTACGCCGCCATCTTTGTTCTCCTGGTGTTTATCTTTTAAATCATTAATTCTATCATCTGCTTCATCCAACCTTTTTAAAGATTTTTTTCACTGTTTTCTTGATGTCAGTTATGGTAATCTTCACTTCTGACTGGTTCTTATTCATGAAAGCCACTGTCACCATCACTTGAGATCTGACTCTTCTCACCTGTGTTGGTGTCACTGAGACAGGCAAAGGTTATCATTGTAACAGGAGTGTCTGGGTTGGGTCATAAATAAAATTAGACTCTGTTGTTATGTGGAGTTAGCTGAAGGAAACACTATAGTCTGTGTTATAGGGAGATGTAAGGGCATTGAGAGTAGTTATTAAGCCAGGAGGTAGCAGTTAATAGAAGCTAAGTTGCAAACAGAGAAGACATAGGGCTTCTTAAATAAAAGTCACCATAAATAGGAGTTTGGCCACCAGAATAAGACTTGTCAGGAAGGCCAAAACCGGTTTGGCTCAGTGGTAGAGGGTCGGTCTGAGGACTGAAAAGTCCCAGGTTCGATTCCGGTCAGAGGCATGTACATTGGTTGCAGGCACATCCCCGGTAGGGGGTGTGCAAGAGGCAGCTAGTTGATGTTTCTCTCTCATCGACGTTTCTAGCTCTCTATCTCTCTACCTTTCTCTCTGTAAAAAATCAATAAATATATTAAAAAAAAAAAAAAGACTTGTCAGGAAGGCTCTGTGGGGAGTGGAGAGCAATGCTTCAAGTCAGTTCAGCCTCCATGCTGATCCAGATCTCTGAGAGGCACATGAACATCCTAACTTGGGGATGTTAATAACAAAAGTTTTATCATTTGGGGCACAAGTGGCTCTACTATGGGATCCTGCTTCAAAATGTTGAAGTATGGGGAACAAGAGCCTTTCCTATGAGCCGAGGAAAACTGGCATTATAGACTCTACAATACACGAGAAGTTGCCACAGCAGCAACAAAACCCAGGAGCAGTCAGAACCCCCAATGGAGTGGCCAAAGGATAGTATTGCAGGCATTAGGTGGCTGGTATGTGGCCGTAGGCAAAGGTCCACTGATGCAAGAGATGAAGCCACAGGGACCTAGAAGGGAGCAGAGAGGACAGCAACAGCAGCAGGTCAGACAGCTGCCCCATGGCGACTGGAAGGCAGAGTTTCCTGTGGGAGACCTGCAATAGTGTGTCAGCGGCCAAACTGCTCACTAGAGCAACTCACAGAGGCAACAGCAGATAATGAGTGGCGAGATGATTGCAAGGATTTAGGGACACCCATCCCATAAAAACAAGTGAGAGGCACCCAGATCTAGACCAGCAAGCAAAATAGTAACCCCTGCCAGGTGGCAGCTCCCCCAGCTACTCTCCTCACAGAATGCTGCAGCCTCGGCCACCTCTCCAGCTACTCCATCCCTGCCCAGAAATGCCAAGACGGCCACCTCTCCAGCTACTCCATCCCTGCCTAGAAATGCCAAGAAGCTCCCAGCTCTTTCCCGATATTTGGGTTGTAATGTTGAGGTGAAGGACAAAGAGAATGTGGCGTAGTAAGCACTGTTCTTGAAATATGCAAATGCATATGCTTTTGCAATAGTTGTCGGTTATTGGGCAACTTGCTTCTTTATCTGCCCCTCATTCTGCTTCCTTGGCTTTGTTCTTCTCAGGACCTCAGATTCCTGGGAATCTGTAAAACCCAGATACTGATAATTGCCGCTGAACACCCAGAGCCCAGTGAGGGACAGATGAGGTCATGCCCTGGGTGCTCTGTAAATTCTAAGGTGACATGGGTGTAGTGTTGGGTGCTTAGTGGCAAGTTTCCAGAACCCAGGTGGGGGTAAGAGTGAGTGAGTCAACAAGGAAGAAAGTTACCCAAAAAAGATCTTAAAAGACCAGCGCCTGGCAGAGGAGCATAAATAGCCTGTGCGTGCCAGGAAGTGAGCATTTGCCTGGAGACCCTGAGCCCTCGAAGAAGCAATGGTGAGTGTCTCTGGGCCTGCCTCTCTTTTCGTTTTCTCTTTGTGCAGCGAATGTCTCCCTGTTTATTTGGGGTGGTCTAATGTACTAGTGTTAAGGAAGATAGGGTCTATGTAGTTCTACTGATCTGGGAGGTGTGGGTGTGGTGTGTGGGCCTGAGAGGGCAGCATAGTGGGGGAAGAAAGACTGTTCTTCTCCCCTCACTCTGCTTACTTTGCTCAGTGGGAGATTTGCCTGCTGGGTCTGGGGAGGCTGGGTGAGTGAGATATGACACCCACCTGGTCCATAGATGCCACTGTCAGGAAGCCTCAGGTGGGAATGCAATTTCAACTTCCCCCTTGTCTCTCTGAACCCTGATTTCTTCAGAAAGGTAGGCGACAAAGGAGAAACAGCCCAGGCCTTCCCAGGCCCCGGGTCAAAGTCCATCAAAGTTCCAACTACCAATTGGACATGGATAAACATCTTTCCTCTTAGCTTCAAATCTTTGTCTTAAAAATACACCCACAGGACAAGTTTAGTGATTTCCAATTAATTTTTAGAGGCGTCATTTTTTCAATATACTTTAGTCTGACATCGAGGCATAAAGTGAACACTATGTGGTGGTTTAAGGGGATGTGGCTCTGCCCAATACCTCTATAGGCCCAGCGCAGAGGCCTCATCCAAGTCCTATGTCTCCAAACCTGTGAGGTGGCCCCTGCCCAGACCCCTTCCTGCTACAATGAGCTCTGGTGCCTTCTGTGCCATCTTGAGCTATTGGGCAGAAGCGTTTTCTTTTCATTCTTCCCCAGATGTGGGGTCAGGGCCCTTGTATTGTGGCAGCTGCACACTGAGGGCAATGCCATGGCTCAGGCTGGAGGCTTTGTTACTCCTGGCAGAGCCTCTGCCCCAGCAAGGGCCACGCTGCTGGCCTGTGAGCTTGCCTGGTGTTTAGAGACTCCCATGTTGCCCGAGGATGTGGTAAACTCGGAATGAGAAAGCACTGATGCAAAAAGGTTTCTCGGCAGCCCAGAATCACCAGCAGGTGGAGAAGAAAGCACTTCTATGGCCAGGAAGGTCCTCCACGGCCTCCCCCTCAGGCTGCCTGGCAATTCCTTCTCCTTTGCTCCATCCCTCAGGCTTGTTCCCAGTCTCTGCAACTCCCATGCATGCTTTCCTGGCTCCTAACTGTACAGTTTCTCTCAGGAGGAAAGAAGCCCCCCATTGGGAGTGGCCAGGACTTACATCCACTGTGACCTCACTTAGCTGTGGAGTCCCTCTCACATGTCACTGGACACTATTTAACATGTTTTTCCTACATCGAAAACCACCCTTTCCTAGATGGAGTTCACCTCACACGTCCTCCTCCACGAGGCCCCTCTCCCAAGTGGTCCCAGGTGGAGGGCTAGCCTTCTAGGTGTCCCAGGGTCTCTCCAGCTATTCTGAGAACCTTTTCTGGGTTCCTTCTGGATCTTTCTACATGGAGACAACGTAAATAGCAGACCACCTGGCAAACATGTAGCCATGTGCCCATCTTGTGTTAGGACACATGGCACTGAGCATTCTGGCTCCTTTCCAGACAAGCACTGAAACTGCCAATGCTAGTCCATGCACAGGTGCAAGTGACAGGAAATGAGTCTGCCCAGCAACCTTACTGATTCAGACAGGGAGAAGGAGGTTCAAAGAGGAGGACTGTCCTGCCCAAAGGCACTTCATGAGTCCCTCCTGATGTGACACATGGTCAGTAAGGGTGCTCATCTTAGCTGTGCCAATGGCAGTGAAAGTGTAGTCACTAGAAAGGACAAAATGGGGCTCTGAGAAGAGATAGATGTTGCTGATAACCCATGTCAGAGTTCAGCTGGGTAACTCATGCCCTCCCAGGCCAGACTGTATGGCCGCCTTGTTCTAAGTTCCTTTCAGAGTCCTGTTGCTTTCTGATCCCACAGAAGGGGCAAGGTGGTAGGAAAGTGCCTCTTTGACTTCTGGGTGGTGGGATAAGCACTAAGCCATATTCTGGAACCAAGAGCATGTCCTTCTCTCTCTGTCCTCCCCTGAAGGCCATGCTTCTCCTCCTCTCAGCGCTGGTCCTGCTCACACAGCCTCCAAGGTCATGGGGAGCAGAGATGACAAACCTTACCCAGAAACGTTTGGCTGGTGCCTGCACCCTGGTCATGTGTGGCCCTGTGGAGAATGGCCTGCCTGGTCGTGATGGACGCGATGGAAGAGACGGCCCCCGGGGCGAGAAGGGGAATCCAGGTAGAGCTGGGACCATGGGCTTGTCCTGGTGGGCATGGGTGGGCATGGAATTGTAACCAGCTCAGAAACTCTGGGCATTCTGCCGTGGAAGCCCTGGAAATGGAAGCCCACTTCCTGGGGAAGAGGTCCCCTGGACATTCAGTCCACCTGAAACACCTCGTTACCAGTTGGCAAATGACAGGTCGTCCTGAGCCCTGAGATATTTTTGCCCCTGCCCTAGAGGCCAGGATTCCTCCCCTAGGATTTCTGATTCCTCTCACCCTAAGAATGAGCGAATGGTGGGTAAATGACTGGTATTTGGGGCCTAGAACCAAGCACTTACAATTGCTCATTGTGATGGAATGATTTCTGGGCAGTGTGTTAATATGTAACTAAATTCTACTACTGCATGAGAGGTGGGCAAAGATGAGGCCATGTGGCCCCACACTCAGTCTTTATCAAAAGGATTTACCTAAATACACTACGGAGAGGAGGAAATGGAGCTCATATTTCTGTGTCCAGCCCTCTGCTTGGGCATTCACTTTTGGAATTCATTTAATCCTATTTATTAATAACATATTAATCTCATTTGATTGGTTATGAAATTGTGATACCCTGTGTGGAAGGTGATAAGGATGTGGGCTTCTGTGCCAGTCAAATCTCTGCTTGATTGTTGGCTTCACTCCACAGCAGGGACCCCTGGGACAAGCAGCTCAGTGTGCACATATGTAAGTAGGAAGAATTTCACACAGTGACAAAAATTGAGCCAAGGCTCAATTGTTGAATCTCCAGGATAAAGTTGTATTTTACTCTGTACTACCAGGTGAATTCTCCTGCACTTTCTAAAGGTGCTCTTATTAAGGGTGTTATGCAAGATATACCCCCCATAGGAGAAAGAGGGAGATAACACCCAACTGTTCATTCAGGTCCTTGTCCGTTTACTCATTATTTTCTTTGTTCACTAGAAACGGATAAGGACGTGAATGAACAGTTGGGTATTATCTCCCTCTCTCTCCTTGCTTTATTACTCATAATAAATCAATGTTACTCATTTATTTGTTAACTGAATTTATGGGATGACATTGGATAATAAATTATATAGGTTCTATAATAAATCATCTGTATATTGTATTATGTGTTCACCACCCCAAGTCAAGTCTCCTTCCATCACCATTTATCACTCATGTACCTCTCCTGCCTTCCTCCACTCGCCTTTCCTTCAGGTGTTGTTTCTTTTCTGTTTGCCCATGAAGGTTCATAGCAGCTTAATTCACAACAACCCAATGTGCATCAACTGATAAATGGATAAGCAATATGTGTTCTATCCATAAAATGGTGTATTACTCACTTATACAATGGCATATTATTGAGCCATTCCATGGCATATTATTAAGTTATACAAAGAAGTGAGACATTCTACAAAGTGAATAATCCTCAAGAACTCACTGCACGTTAAAAAAAAAAAAAAGCCAGACAACAAAGGTCACATATTGTATAATTCCATTGATAAGAATTATCTGGAGTAGGTAATAGACACAAGAAGCAGAGTTGTGATAGCCAGGGGTGAGGTGGGGGCATGGGGGATAGGGAGTGGCTGCCCAAAGCCTAGGAGGTTTTCCTTTGGGTGGTTAAACGTTTTGAACTAAATAGAAGTGGCAGTTGCATGACATTGTGTAGGTGCTAAATACCACTGAACTGTATACTTTTAAAGGGTTGGTTTTACATTCTAGAACTTTCTGCTAGGGCTGATTAGTAGACCCTGACTGACAGATGAACAGAAAACTCCGACACAGGTTTTTGAGCTATGCTACTCTTTTACTTCAGTTGTAAAAGCTGTCCTGTACGCTTGCCTTGTTGGCTTTTTGTTGTAACAATAGCTTGAGCTCAAATTAACCTCCAGATACAATCAGCAGGGCAAGAATCCTTTAGGAAGTATATGCTTCTACAAGGTCAGGTCTTTAAAGATTAAATACAGAGATTCTAGCGAAACACCCCATGATCAGACTTGTTTGGAAAAGTCAAGGTAGGGGCTGCTGCTTTTGGCAATGTTCCCCCAGAGGCCCCTCCTTACAGACAGACATTCCTACCAAGTCCATGCTTCCCCATAACTTTCACTTCAATAAAAAGAAAGAGCCAAACTCATAAAATTAAGTGTAAAATCCTTAAATGTTAATAGCCATTTGCTCCCTTTCATGTCTTTTTTTGCTAATCCTCACCCCAGGATGTTTTCCCCATTGACTTTTAGAGAGAGGGAAAAGGAGAGGGAGAGACAAAGAGACAGGAACATCGATGTGACAGAGACACATTGGTCAGATGGAGCCTGCAACTGAGGTACGTGCCCTTGACCGGAATTGAACCTGGGACCCTTCAGTCTGTAAGCTGATGCTCTAACCACTGAGAAAAACTGGCTAGGGCCAGTTCCTTTTGTCTTTTTTGGGTAACTCTTGCATAATTTAAGACTTAGGCAGCCTGTCTTCAGATAACAGGTCTTTTTAAAATATTTGACTATTTTTCCAATAGAAAAATACTATGTGGTCACTAAAGATAAACAAAAAGAAGCAAGTTGAAATGATCTTTGTGACACTTAGAAAAAAATTAACTTTTTGAATATGTCTTTTCTGGTGTTTTCCAATAAGTTTGATGTGCACACCCTATAATGTCTGTACATGTTTATGAAGCAGAACCATATTCAATATAATGTTTATAGTGTCATTTTCCCCTTAATGATGCAGTAGACAATAATTTGGTCTGTTTTTATAGGTATCAGAACATGTGACCATGCTTTTTCTATTTATCATGGAGATGTAACCTATTCTATCTAAAAAAAAGAGTAATATGCAAATTGACCATCACTCCAACACACAAGATGGCTGCCCCCATGTGGACACAAGGCGACTGCCACAATATGGCCAACAGGGGAGGGCAGTTGGGAGGGACCAGGCCTGCGAGGGAGGGCAAGTGGGGGTGATCAAGCCTGCAGGGGAGGGCAGTTAGGGGTGAGCATGCCAGCAAAGAAGGGAAGTTAGGGGCAACCAGACCTGCAGGGAAGGGCAGTTGAGAGGGACCCAGGCCTGTAGTGGAGAGCAGTTGGGGACACCAGACTTGCAGGAGAGGGCAGTTAGGGGTGACCAGGCCTTCAGTGAAGGGCAATTATGGGCAAACAGACTGGCAGGGGAGTGGTTAGGGGGTGATCAGGTTGGCAGGCAGAAGTGGTTAGGGGCAATCAGGAAAGTGGGCAGGTGAGCAATTGTGAGCCAGCAGTTTTGGATTGATGGGTTCCAGATTGGTGAGAGTGCAGGCTGTGCTGAGGAACACCCTCCTCCCCCACTTCCCTCCCCTTCCTGTGCATGAATTTCGTGCACCAGGTCTCTAGTATATATATATATACTAGAGACCTGGTATATCTCTAGTATATATATATATGTACTATATACATATATATATACTAGAGATATATATATACATATATATATATACTAGAGATATACTAGAGATATACCAGAGATATACATATATATATACTATATACATATATATATATGGTCACACACACACACACACACACACACATATATATATATATATATGTATGTATGTATATATATAAGCCTAATATGCTATTTGTCCAACCAAGCAGTCAACCAAATCATCGACTGGTTGACTGGTCACTATGACATGCACTGATCACCAGTGGGCAGACGGCTAACCAAAATTGCTAATGCGAGTTCAGGTTCTTTGTTTTGTTTCTTCCAATCCAGATATAAGTGAGATTACATTGTGTCTGTCGTAATTTGTATGACTATGACACAGCATAATTCCTTCAAGATCAATTCATGTGTGGCAAATGGTAGGATTCTTTTTATGGCTGAATAGTATTCCAGTGTGTGTGTGTGTGTGTGTGTGTGTGTGTGTGTGTGTGTGATATTTTTATCCCTCCATCCATTATGGACACTATTAGGTTGTTTCCACCTCTTGGCTATTTTAAAAAATGTTGCAATGAACATGAGGGTACAGATATCTTTCAAATTAGTATTTTATTTCCTTTGGATAAAACCCAGAAGTGGTATTGCTGGGTCATACTTTTAAAAAATATTATCTTTTCAATGTCTTAAAGAAACTCCGTATTGGAATCCATAGTGGCTGCACCAAATTACAATCTTACCAACAGTGCATAGGGGTTCTTCTTCTCCACATCATGACCAACACTGGTGCTCTTTTGTGTTTTATATAGTCGCCATTCTAGGAGATGTGAGATGATATCTCATGGATGTGATTTGCATTCCCTGATGACTCCTGTCAGGGACCATTTCTGTTTAAAGTTTTGTCCTAGGAAGGGGAAATCCAGGAGTCCATGATCCAGGGCAAACTGCAGCTCATGAGCCACATGCGGCTCTTTGGCCACTTGAGTGTGGCTCTTCCACATAATACCACGGCCTGAGAGAGTCTATTTTGAAGAAGTGGCGTTAGAAGAAGTTTAAATTTTAAAAATTTGGCTCTCAAAAAGAAGTTTCAATCTTTGTACTGTTGATATTTGGCTCTGTTGACTAATGAGTTTGCCAACCACTAATCCAGGGTGAAAGCTGGCAGATCCACTGCTGTAATCCTGCAGCCTGGGGGCAGGCACTGGGCACTGCATGGAAGTCAGACGGTCCTTGGCAGGACCCCCTCCAGCTCTGGCAGGCCTGTTTCCTCGCCTGTGAAATGGGGTTGTGCACACCCGTTTCCTGGGTCACCACTGGACTGAGGAGAGTGGAGGTGGAATGTCTACACCTGTGGAACCTGAAGGAACAGGACCTGCATTGCTGGCTCCTCCTAGGCTTTGAGTCAGGTTTATGCCCATTTCTTCTGCTGCTACAGGTCCACCAGGAGCTCGTGGACCAAGGGGGATGCCTGGACCTGTAGGCCCAGTTGGGCCCAAAGGGGACAATGGCTCTGCTGGAGAACCTGGACCGAAGGGAGACTCGGGGCCACGTGGTGAGCAGTGGGTGGGGACTGAAATGCCTGCCTGTAGGCCATGTGGGAGGATGCACATACCCACCCAGGAAGGAGGGTGCCCTGCAGGTGGCGCTGGGTTCACACAGGGAAGGTGGTAATCCTGCTGGGCGATGGCTGTAGGATGGTGCTATCCTTTGACCTCTATGACTGCTCTCGCTTTCTCACTGTCTCCCCCTTCTGAGAAGACCAAGTGCACTGATTGGCTGTATCTTTTCCCAGGACTTCAGGGACCAGCAGGTGCACCCGGGCCAGCTGGAAGAGAAGGTCCCTCGGGAATGAAGGGGGATGTAGGCCCCCAAGGCGAACCAGGACCCAAAGGAGAGCCTGGGCCCAAAGGTAGGAGGTTGATGTGTGCTGGTCCGGAAGGGAGAGGGAGGAATGACATTGGCAATCCCTGATGTGACCTAAGGATGCTCAGCGTGCCAAGGAAGCCAGGCCTTCAACTCTGGCAGGCCTTGCTGTGTTCCCTGCCTCCCCCGCCCCCCACACACACACCCTTACATCTGCGGAGCCCAGACAGTGGGGTCTGTGCACTGTCTCCCTCTCCATGTCGAGCCGAGGAAATGATCCAGTCTGCACATACTGTCAGCAGCCTTTGTTCCAATCTGTTACTTCCTCAGGAGAAGTGGGTGCCCCAGGAATGCAGGGCTCTGCAGGGCCAAGAGGCCCTCCAGGTCTCAAAGGAGAGCAAGGTGCCCCTGGTGAGCGTGGAGCCCCTGGGAATGCAGGGCCACCAGGTGAGTGATGGGCACAGCTGGGGCAGGTCTTCGGTTCTCCTGTGTCCACCTGAAGCTGTGGATGCCTGTCCCTCTCCCATCACCCGCCAGCTCAGAGCTGCAACACTGGGCATGGGGAGTCTGTGCAAGGAGGTGCCTTGCTGGGCTTGAGCTCTGTAACTGGGGACAATGGGGTGTGAGCAGCAGGGATGATCTGCATCCTGGGAAGGCCAGGTGCTGGGTGCTGGGTGCTGGGACAGTAGTGCACAGGGAGGGTGCGTGGCTGTCTTTGGGACAGACTGTACGTGGGAGGGTGTATTGCTAGACAGTAACACAGTCCATGTGCTGGAAGGGAAAATGCAGGAGAATGTGTGCCAAGCTTACTCTCCTCTTCTTGTCTGATCTCAGGGCCTGTAGGACCCCCAGGCCCATCGGGACCTCCAGGCGCCAGGGGCCTCCAGGGACTGAAGGGAGACAGAGGTGCTCCTGGGGAGAGAGGACCAAAGGGAGAGAGTGGACTTCCAGGTAAGGTCACCTCCCCTAGCTCTGGGGCCCATACAGGGTGCAGAGGGAGGAGGGCCCACTGCTCAGTGGTCAGCTCATTGTGGGGTCGGGGTGGGGTGGGGTTGTAAATGCAGGAAAGGCTGTTGGGCTGAAGGCAGGAAGATGAGGTTCTATCTAGAGCCCCGGTACTCGGGTTCAAGCCTGAGTAGCTTCCCATCAGGTCACTGGGACAGCTCAGCTCTCTTCCCAGCTCATCAGAGAGCTTTGAGCATCAAATAGCCCAGAGATGGGAAGTACTTGTGGGAAATGCAATTCCCCCTTCTCCCCAATGTGCCCCTACTAATGTGCTCCCAGATTCTTAGATTTTGCTGTGAAATGTCATCTGGATCAGCGTTAGTGGGGTGCCAGGACCTGCCCAGGGCACAGTGTGCTCACAACAGAGCCTCAGGGAACTCAAGGGCAGGAGGGCCAGTTGGGGCCCAGCTCCTTCCCCTCCCCCAGGAAAGCCTGTCACTGAGCACCCTTTCTTTGGGACCCGGACTCTGAGCCGAGGCCTGGCTGTGAGGGAGTGGTCTTCACTGGGCTCCTCTCTCCTGCAGACATCGCTGTTCTGAGGCAGCAGGTGGAGGCCTTGCAGGGGCAGGTGGGACGCCTTCAGGAAGCCTTCCTTCAGTCTAAGAAAGGTGAGTGCCTGGACTGAGCCAGTCGCCAAGGGAGGGCAGGCCCCAGCCCGGGCCTGAGGCAGGCTGGTTCTAGGATCAGATGCTCTAGAATGGTAGTGGGTTTGGATGATGGGCTGGACCTGGGATGGGGCAGGACCTGAGGATAAGCATAGGGCGGGGTAGAGTAGGGCAGCCACGTGTTCCAGGAGCTGGAAGCAGATGCAAGGGACACGTAGCAGGCTGTGGCCCCTACACCAGCTCAGAGAGCTGGCACCAGCATGGTCAAGGCTACCAAGCTTCAGCCCCCACCAATCACAGCCACCTGGGACCCGAACAGTTCAATGCCCAAGCCCAGCTGTTCAGACCTTCCCTCCTGCTGACTTATGCTGGGCCCAGGACACCCCACTAACCCAGGATGCATTCTGATCTTTATGGGGCTAGGTGTGCAGACCCCCCCCCCCCCAAGATGTTGCTGCGCAGCCCACAGCAGCTGTAACTCCAGACAACTGTCCTGAGAGTTGGGGCTGGGATGCTGTGCTAGGGTTCAAGGCTGTGAGGGTGTGACCTTGGCATCTGGCCATTGAGTGTCTCACCTCTGACAGGCCCTGGGTCCGTCAGGGGGAAAGCCGCCTTTGGGCTCTACCTAGTGATAGGCTCTCCCGTCCTCCCTTGGTGTTCATGGTGGAGACTCTTCCCTAACTTGAGTGTGAGGAGTCAGAGGCCACAGGAGCACAGCCAGTGCCCTGTGCCTGTGGGCATCTCCACCTGAGTCCCTAATTTGCCCCTCCTCCTCCCTGCTTTCCCCATGTCAGCTTTCAGCTCAAATCATTCAGCAAATCTCATTGATCCAAAGAGTAGTTTCTGAAGGAGGGCAGGCAGGGGTGAGACATAGGGTTGGCTCTTACATTCCTAAGGCCACTGAGTACCCATGTACCAAGGGAGAGGTTTCAAGCATTTGGTATGTCTCCCTCTCTCCACAAACATGCATGTGTGCTCAGTCCCTCATATGCACACTGATGCAAAAAAGGAATATTTGTGTCATGCACTCAGCTTTACAGTGAGATCAGATAAGGGTGACCCCCCAACTCACATGGGATGGTTAATGAAGTTGAGCTTCCCATTCTGAGCCTAGGTTTCTCACCTGTAAGTAGACAGACGATCCACCTCCCAGAGTGCACCACGGAGCCAGGGGTCTCACTTTTGTCTTCCCTGGTGCTCTGAGGCCCTCTATGTGAGGTCCTGGGCTCTGGTTGGAGTTCAAGGTCTCAGAGCCATGGAGCTTTGACAGGTGCCCCCAGAACCCTAACCTGACTGTCCTCTCCTCCTAGTGGAGCTCTTCCCCAATGGCCGACGTGTTGGCCAGAAGGTCTTCAAGGCAGCAGGCTTTAAGAAACCTTTCCAGGAGGCACAGCAAGTGTGCGCCCAGGCCGGGGGCCAGCTGCCTTCCCCAAGCTCTGCAGCTGAGAATGAGGCCTTGAAACAGCTGATCGAGGTTGAGAACATGGGGGCTGCGTTCCTGAGCATGACTGACTCTGAGACAGAGGGCAAGTTCGTCTACCCAGGAGGGGAGCCCCTGGGCTATTCCAACTGGAACCCTGGGGAGCCCAACAACAAGGGCGGCAATGAGGACTGTGTGGAACTCTACACCAATGGCAAGTGGAACGACATACCTTGTGAAGAGCCGCGCCTTGTGATCTGCGAGTTCTGAGCCCTCCCCTGTGCTGCCCACATGACAATGAAGAACTGAGGGCTCTGTGGCCGGGCTTCTGCACAGAGCCCTGGGATGAGGCCAGCCAAGGGCTCCCATGGAACTCCTTTTCTCAGAATAAAGTACACAGCTGGCTTCACACACTGGCTGCCCTGTCAGGGGGAGAAGAGGCCAGCCTGCTCGCCCAATTGCAAGGGATAAAATTAGGTCCCAAAACCAAAAGGCTCCTCTGCAGCCCTCTGCCTCCTCAAACTGTCCACCCAGCTTGCCATACCCTCCTCTGTCACTCCCTTCTCTGTCACTCTTCCTCCTCTTGCTTTGGTGTTCCCTAAGGGCAGTTCCTTATCATCCCTTTTGCTAGCCCTTCCTCCTCTTCCTGACCACTTAGTGGAGATGTGCTCAAGCCTTAACTCTCCCTTCTCTCCCCTCCTTACCCTGCTCCAGGGATTAGCTAGTTCTGTCCAGGGCTCAGATCCCTGGCACCCACATTTCATGCGTGCTCAGGACCTCTCCCAGAGCCCCAGACTCCTCTGGCCAATGCTAGCAGGAGCCCCAGGGCTGGGAGGTTCAGTGGCTGCTCCTTGCCTCAAGGCTTGAACCCCAGAAGGAGCACAGCGCCATGGTCTGACCTGGCAGGTCTTCTGCCTCCCTGGCAGGACTGTGTGGCCCAATTGAGTAGCCTCCTCTGCATCCCTGCACACCAGCACCTCCTTCTACCCTGTCATTGTGACTGGCTGCCGGCTCATGGGAGGGAGTCCCACCTCACAATCCCCATTCCAGCTGAGATCTCATGAACAGAGGGTCCAGCCATGCTCAGGTTCACCACCCAGCCTTCCCCTTGCCTCTGTCCAGGAGGTTCTTCCCTCTCACCACCTCAGAGCCACCTTGCCAGTTCCTCCTCCTCATCCCTCAGAGATGGGAGACTTGCTCAAGGCCCCAGGTGTGTCCGTGCTACAACTTGGTCATGTGAAAGGTCATATGATCCCAACCCTTACACTTTCTGCCTGTCAACTTCTGGGCCAAAGGCCTCTGTGTACCAGTTGACTTTAATGACACTCGTGCTTAAGAAATTGGAAGGACACCTGGATGAAGCCCAGGCTCATAGGAGAGGCAACAAGAACGGAAACCAGCCCTCCTTTGTTCCCACCTTCTTCCCAACACTTCCCAGCCACACCTCAGATGTAGGACAGTAGGTCTGAGAGCAAAAAGCCACATCTAATCACCATGGTGTAAGATGGTACGAGATGGATTGGGATGATCATTTAGTAAGTTATGTAATGATAATCACTGGGATGTACACCTGAAGTTAATATAACACAGTATGTCAGCTATAATTTAAAAATGAAAGATAATTTAAATAAATAAAGTGATTATGGATAGGTTTAAAAAAGGAAAACAAGGACCACACCCCCCAGCCGCACTCAGCTCAGTCTCTCTGCTGAGACCTTGTTCTTATTACTGAAAATTAGGGGAAAAAAAAGGCCCAGGTTTTGGAAGCTTCTGAAATATGTCGGTTATCCAAGGATGGGCTAATAATCTTCAATTCAGAAGTCACACCTGGACACCATTCGCCAGGGAGCTGACAAAGGTATTTCATAACAAATAAAAACGGAAAAAGCAGTGGATGTGGTTTAAGCCCAGGGAGGGATATTTCCTAAGAATGAAGAGTTCTGAGGTGGCTCAAGGACTGCGGGTGCACACACAGCACTGTGTGTCCTCCCTGCTTCTGCCTCTGTGCACCCTCGCCTCTCTTCCTCCCTTTTCTCGTCACCTCCTTCTGCTTCTGTCTCTCAGCTGCCCAAGCACAGAGTCATGTGTCATGTGTCACAGAGATATTGGTCTATAGTTTTCTTTTTCTGTGTTATTTTTGCCAGGTTTTGGTCTGAGATGGTTTTTGATGGTTGTTACAATTTCCTCACTGTTTATCAGTCTATTTAGAGTTTCCAATTCTTCATGTTCATTTTAGGAAGGTCATGTAATTCTAGGAACGTATCCATTTATTCTTGATTATGTGGCAGATGTCTTTCATAGTATTCTAGTGAGATCCTTTGTTTATCTGGGTTGTCTATGGCAACTTCCTGTCTTTCATTTCTGATTTTGTTTATTTAAGTCTTTTCTCTTTTTTCCTTAGTGAGTGTAGCCAGGGATTTGTCAACTTGATTCATCTTTTCAAAGAACTAGCTCTTTGTATTAATTTTCGTAGAGTCCTCTTGTTCTTTATTTTATTCAATTTTGCTCTAATTTTGATTATTTCCTTTCTTCATCTGATTTTGGGTTGATTTTTTTGTCTGGAAGATCTCTTCTGTAATATCAGTGGGGTATTAAAATCCCTTACTATGACTGTATTAACATCAATCTCTCCCTTAAAGTCCTCCAGGAGTTTTTTATTTTTTAAAAAAATGTATTTGGGTGTTTCTATATTGGTTGTATATATGTTTACCAGGCTTATAGTCTCTTATTGGAATGGTCCTTTTAGTATAATGTAATGACTTTCTTTGGCTCTTGCTCTGATCTTTGTTTTGGAGTCTATTTTGTCAGATGTAAGTATTGCTATCCCACTATTTTTTTTTTTTTTTATTCCATGTGCTTGGAAAATCTTTTCCATCCCCTTAATTTCATCCTGTGTGAATCTTTTGTTCTGAGGTGGGTTT